ACTCAAAGCTTCAATTTTCCTAAAACTGCTACAAGGATGAACATAAAGGCTTAGATTACGTATGTTGTGGAATGGGCTGCAAAGGACCCATATGGTTTCCTTAGAAGAGTTATTGTAGTACTTAAGCCACTTTTCTACAAAGTGCCATGCTATCCACAAAATAGACCAAGATGATTGAAGCCGGGGATAAGGAGCAAAATATGAAACAAAAACATCAAGAAGAATGCCAGGGTGTCAGTGGCTCACACCTGTAACCCTAGATAGTCAGGAGCCTGAGATCTGAGGATCGCAGTTTGAAGCTAACCAAGGCAGGAAAATCTGTGAGACTCTTATCTCCAATTAAGCACCAAAAAAAAAAAAAAAACAGTGGAGATACAGCCCAAAGTGGTGGAGAGCTAGCTAGCCCTGAGTTCAAGCCCCAAGACTGACCAAAAAAAGTCCATCAAGAAGATATTTCAAAAAGCTAAACAGGTTTTTTCAAAAAGGATTGAAGGGATAAACAAGCTCTGTGACTAGAAAAATCCATTTGGAAAATTATACAGCTTTCTAAGAACATATTATGATGATATGATTTAGTAAATTAAATATGAGCTTGTGGAAGAATTATGTACTGACCTCAATATTGTAGTAACTTTCAGGCTGAATTGTTAGTTTGTTGGTTATCTGCTAGTAATGACTGTGATATTATATTAATGTACAGGTTGAGTATCTATAACCTGAAAATATAAAACACAAAATATTCTCAAAATATTTATGAACACAGGCATGCTGTGACAAAGTGGAAACTTCCACCCTAACCTCATGTGAATCAACATACAGGTGCACTCAAAATATTGTATCAAATTACTTTCAAACTATGCATTGAAAGTGTATATATGAAACACAAATAAAGTTTGTGATTATACTAGGGTCTCAAACTTAAGATAGTTCATGTATATGCAAATATTCAAAATCTGAAGGAACACTTCTGGATCCAAGTATTTTTTAGCCAAACATTTTAGATATGGGATATTCAACCTGTATTGCAAATTATTTATAACAGACTTAGCTATTTGCCATTTTACAGCTTGTAAAAGAAAATATCCTGTGGAGAAAAATGACTTTAGATTCTCAACTCTATTCATATGGTGGTTTAGAATGAGTTCTTGTTACAGACAAAGGATAAAAGTATAAAAGAATCTCATTCTCTCCAAGGTGAAAAGTATGTTTTGGTTTAAAAGAGATATTACGTATTATATCTTTTATTATTATTGCCTATTACTTGGAATGGAATCATTTCCGGCTTTTTCACAGCAAAAAAAAATTAATCAATAAGTACTTCCATTTTCTGCATTTTACTGATTTTAGCCTTTGGAGACAACTGGTAGTTGTTGTTGTCAGTCGTGGGACCTGAACTGTGGGCATGGGCGCTGTCCCTCAGTTCTTCAGCTCAAGGCTAGCACTCTACCACTTGAGCCACAGCACCACTTCTGGTTTTCTGAGTGGTTTATTGGAGATAAGAGTCTGACGGACTTTCCTGCCCGGGCTGGCTTTGAACCACGATCCTCCAGATCTCAGTCTCCTGAGTAGTTAGGATTATATGCAGGCATGAGCCACCAGCACCGGGCTAAGGCATACTATGTTTAAAAATCTAATTGTATAAGAAATTTCTAATTACATGACTTTGTAGAATGCCACAAATTGATACTGGATATAACAAGGTTTGTACTTATGGACACGGGTATTTTCTTAGAGGTGAGTTTCTGAGAAGTGAGACATTAAGATTTAAAACTTGTGGTAAAATAAAATGCCAGATGTTGGTAATGGGGAAAATGCCAAACACTGTAGTAATCTGGACTGTTTTTTCTTGTGCTGACTAGAGTCTTGAAATTTAAAATTACTTCTTGGATGAATTGCTGATTATCCTTATATTCTCTTTTTTATGCCGGTCCTGGGGTTTGAATTCAGAGCCTACGTACTGTCCCTGAGCTTTTTTGCTTAAGATCATGCTCTACCACTTAAGCCACACCTCCACTTCCAACTTTTGGTGATTAAATGAAGAGTCTCATATACTTTCATGTCAGGCTGGCCTTGAACCAAGATCCTCAGATCTCAGTTTTCTGAGTAGCTAAGGTTCTAGGCATGATTTTCAAACTTTCTGACAAAGCCCTTTCTAAGAGATATTTTAATTTCAAAAATCTTTTAAAGAACTGAAGAGTTAACACTAAAGTTATGCTTCTTTAAGTGGCAGGTTTAAATTTTGTAAAACTTTTTGTTAGACACAGTAGTAATTGCATGAATAGGATAAATTATGTCAAAAAGAGAATGTGTTATAATTAGAAGCACAGAGTTATAGAATCTTTCTTTCAGTTAAGTAGTATAACTGGAAATTTTAACTATTAATCATGGCTTTTGTAAATGCATGGTCCAGTATTTTATTCACTGCAATATTTAATAGCTTATTAATGCTTTTTGCACTTCTGATAGCAAATTTTAAGTTACAATAATTGTCAAACAGCTCTATTTTAAAAATGAAACGTGATTCTGCAATAAATTTGATTCTTTGTTATGAATTCTTAAATACTGACATTAAGAAACTGAGTATTTGGACTGAAATAGTAACTCAATGGGAGAGTACTTGATAAGGAAGTGTGAGCCTCTGGGATCAGTCCTTTATACAAACTACTGGAATTACAAGATATTTTCTCTGACCATGATGAAATTATATGACAAGACTTGAAAACAAAGGTATATGTTAAATCTCCAAATATTTTTAGACACATTACTTGGTTTGAACTCAGGACCTTGAGCAAAGTAGGCAGGTGCTCTACTGCTGATCCATGCTTCTAAATTTTTCATGTGCTGGATACTTTTTTTGTCAGTTGTGTCTTGAACTCTGGGCCTGAGTGCTGTGCCTGGGCTCTTCAGCTCAAGGCGAGCACTTTTCCACTTGAGCCACAACACCACTTCCAGTTTTCTGGTGGTTAATTGGAGATGAGACCCAAAAGCTTACCTGCCAGGCCTGGCTTTGAACCTTGTTCCTCAGATCTCAGCCTCCTGAGTAGCTAGGATGTCCAGCTGTATTGGTTATTTTTGAAATAGGTTCTGGCTTCTTACCCAAGCTTACACATGAGCTGCTGTCTGCATATTTTAGGTTTCTCACTGTAGCTGTTATTTTAATAGATGTGTATCTTACAAAGTTTTCTTCCTGGGCTGGCCTCAACCCAAAATTCCCACCCCCAAATCTCAGCTGTCCACCTATGTAGGTAAGTATGAGCCACTAATATCCATGTTACATCTCCTAATATTTTGAAATTAAACAGCATACTTTAAAATAATCCAGTTGGCCAAAGGGGAATGACAAAAGAAATGAGAAGCCAGGTGCTGATGGCTCATGCCTGTAATCCTAGATACACAGGAGACTGAGAGCAGGAGGATTGTAGTACCAAGTTATCCCAGGAAGAAAAATCCACAAGACTCCATTTAATAGTAGTATTTCTATTTTCTCAATCTAGGCCTCTACTTTAATAAACTAAGAAATTAAATAGCAAATTAAACAGGATAAAGAAGAAGCAAAATCATGAAGTGCATAAATCAATAAAATTTAAAACAGAAAATGCCAAACAGACATCAATGAAAGCTGTTTTTCTTTATCTTTGATAAACTTTTTTCCAGGTAGTTTAAGACCAAGTTAATAGTGTCAAGAATGAGGGTGTTGTCATCTCTAGAGAGTCTAGAGACATCTAAAAGGGTAATGAGGGACCATTGTGAATGCTATTTTACCTATGTATTTGATGTATTAGATGAAATGGACAAATTAATTAAATCACAAACTATTCCCTTAAGAAGGTATATAATCCTATAGCTATTAAATTAATTTAATTCATAGTTAATATTCCAACAAAGAAAACCATAGTGAAGAATTGTACCAAAGTTATTAATACCAAACTTGTACAAACCCTTCCAGGAGAAAAAGGGAATGTAGTCAGTGGTAGAACACTACCCTAGTATGCACAAGGTCGTGGGTTTGATCCCCAGAAAAAGGAAAATAGAAGGCACAATTCCTAGCTGATTTTATAAAAATCAAAACTAAACAAAGACAATGTAAGAACACTTCAGCCACATGACCACAATTTGTACAGAATCTGTATCTTCTGTCTAGAGCAGGGTCCCAGTTAATACAAACTCACAGGTACACGTTGTATTTTTTAAATAAGAATCTCATATTTTTCTGTGTTGAAGATAGAAGTCCGTGTCTTATGCATGCTAGACAAGTGTTCATTGAGTTATATCCCTGCTTCTTGATTAGAATCTTAATGTTGGGAGCACCACAACAATGGTTTTAGAAAATACAGGCTGTGCTATCTATTACAGTTCCTCAAAATAATGGTGAGCCTATAGATTTTACAATGTTAGAAGTCTGCACTGAGTGCCAGTGGCTCTCACTTGTAATTTCAGGAGACTGAGATGTAAGGATCACAGTTCAAAGCCAACCCAGGCAGGAAAGTCCATTAGATGTTAATTGGAGGTAAGAATCTCCAGTTAGGGGCTGGGAAGGTGGCTCAGTGGTAGAGCGCTTGCCTTGCATGCTCGAGGCCCTGGGTTTGATTCCTCAGCCCCACATAAGCAAAAAAAAAAAGCCGGAAGTGGCGCTGTGGCTCAAGTGGTAGAGTGCTAGCCTTGAGCTGAAGAGCTGAGGGACAGCGCCCAGGCCCAGAGTTCAGACTCCACGACCGGACCTCCCCCCCCCCCAAAAAAAAAAGAATCTCCAGTTAACCAGCAAAAAGCCAGAAGTGACTGACTCAGGTGCCTTGAGCAAAAAAGCTCAGAGACAGCACTTAGGCCCTGACCCAGGAATGGCACAAATCACTGTCTACAATGGCTGCAGTGACCTTCAAATTGTAAGGAAAATTAATTTTCCAAAACAGGAAAACCCTTTACAGTTAGAGAGATTAGAACCTGATAGAACAGTTAAACAAGATCACAGGGAATATTACATTTTTGCTTTTTCCCCCTTAGAGAACTTCTCACATCACTCATTTGAGGCATTGCTTCTGCTGTATGAGTTTGAAGCTAAGATCAAAATGAATGACCCATCACTGGACAGTTTCCTAGAAACAATGTGGGAGCTGCCTCATTTAGACAGTACAATACTTGAAGCAATCGCAAGTAAGTGTTGTATTTATACTTTTGTATGGCTTGTACCCATTTACATGTTATTGTTTCCTTTCCTCTGGTTAGAAACAACTTTTTCTCATAGCACTTGTTTCTCTACCTCTCTCATGACATTCTTAAACTATTTTTATTGCAATCATGTGTGCATTTTGCTTTTCCATTCTATGAGACTCTTACCTCCTTACAGTCATGAATAATAATTACATATAAACACATATATTTATTTAGTATACCTACAAACTCTAGTGAAGTATATTGCTCATCATAAGTGTTCACCTTTAGTCTTTGTGTGAAATTAAATTATGCAACTACACAATAGACGGAGTTGAAATTTGAGGAAGTTAAAAATGATCATTGACTACCTCATAGTTTACTGAAATACACAGAGAAATACTGAAAGTAGTTTAACACTACTGCCACTGTCTAATTTCTGCTTGAGTTGTAAGTGGGATATGATGGCTCAGAGCATTTGGGGAATACACTGCGGGAAATGGCCTAATTACCTTCCCTTGTCATCTGTCCTTCTCAGGAATGTGAGTGTGATTAGTAAAGGTGCTAGGTAGCTACAAGTTTGTCAGTCACATTGCTTTGTTTTCCTTGGTCTTTCCAAGACAATTTCTAGAGCTATGGAGCAGATAATGTATGCTTTATAAACACTTGGGATGTTGACCACTTGTATAATGGATGTCCATTCTAGAGGCCTACTAAATGTATTTGGAAGTTTTAAGGATATCTCTGATATTCTTCATGTGGAATGTTTCCAGTTTTTAGCCTCTAGCCAAACAAAAAAGCAGCATTAAATCAGTTTTGTTTTATTTTTCTTTTTTCATTATCTTTAAGTAATTGTTCAAAGAAGTTTTGATCCAACATGTCAGTTTGTGAGTACAATGCATCATGATCAATGTCTCCCCTTCCATCATTCTCAACCATCTCTCCCAACCCCATCCATTCCCTCAAGTCACCTGGTTCCATTTCCACATATGTACTCTATTCTCTTACCTTTCCTCTCTCCATTCATCTATCTTCTTCCCTTGACCTCAGTCCCCACCCACACACCCCAAATTCCAGCTTCCTGGTATTCATTTAATTAAATCTAGTTTTGATTAGTGCTCTCTCACTAAATCTTCTCTCTGTTTCTTTCTTAGTGTGCCCTTCCTTGGCTGTGTTCATAAGATTATTGCTTTACCTTTATGACTAAGTAGTCATAGGCGCAATAGATTTTTCTGTTGGGGCTTGCTGAAGAGTGTAATCTGGTGATCCTACCAAGCTACATGGTCTAGAAAGAAGAGGCTACCTGTAGAAGCATCTCTGGATTCAACATTTTATAAAGTTTGTGGTGTGTGTGTGTGTGTGTGTGTGTGTATTTACTGTTTGGCTATTAACCTGTTTCAGAGTAATCTCATTACAGAAACAAGTTGTAGCCTGGAATACAAACTGGGATATATAAGATTATGGTGTTCAGAACCTTTTTTTCTTCCCTTATAGCATTAGCTATGGAAAGTCCTGTACACTATCCTAGCATTGCACTCAAAGCCTTGAAAAAGGCTCTACAGATCCACAAAACGAAAGAATCTCTCAATGTTTTGAAATACAGGTTAGTAAATGCAATTCAACATCTAATCCAAAGAACCGCAGTCATAGTAATAGTAGTAATAGCCCGAGAACTGTAGTCAATTCCTCCCAATCAATCATTAATCACAATCAACTGGCTCAACTTAAAACATGATGGTAGCCCTCATTTTGAAGCTGGCTGAAAAAACCAGGGATTATTTAGCAAAGTCAAGGATTCTGCACTTCCCAAAGAAGAAAAAGAAGAAAGGAGGAGGCTACAATGCTGGATAAGAAATGTACTCACTATCTTGCCCATGTAATTATAACTCCTCTGTACAGTATTTTCACAATAAAAAAAGCCAAAAAAAGGAAGAAAAAGAAGAAAAAGGATGCTTCTTTGAGTCTATGTATATAATAAAACTACTAAAGTACTTAGTAGAACTATAAGATGACTTTTCTCTCTCTTTTAATAAGTACCTTAGTAGTTTTATTATTTCATTTGCTAAATATCCCAAATGTGCAAAATACAGAGGTTAATACAGCAAACACCAAAATATCCAACTCTCAAATCGGACACCTGGTAACATTCTGTTACATTTGCATCCGATTTTATAAGAACTTTAAGTAACAATACGTGTTGTATAAAATACTATTTTTTGAGCAGGTTTTTGTGTGTGTGAAGGAAAAATGGGATGAGATTTTTCTCTGGAAAAGTTTATTACAGTCCTTTCTGAGAGATGAGAAACAATTCCGGAATCATTCCCAATTTAAATCCCAATTCCTTTGCTTATTTGAGAAAGTAACATGATGCTTTAAATGAACCAGCTCATAAATTTAAATAAACAAGCAAGCTATTTCATGCAAGAACTAAATAGGAGTGAAAGACAACCATAGACATGTGAGAGGAAGAACTAGCCAACCAGAAATCTATCTTCTGAGATTGGATGCCCTATAAAACCAAGGGAAAAACAGAAGTGTTCCTGAACCTTTTTTTAGTCTGGGATGAGATCTAGATTTGACTTAGCTATGAAGCCAGTGATTTCTTTCCTTGAGATGACTTTTTCTCTCCTTTTTCTTCTCTCTTCTCTCCTCTCTTCCTACCCCGTCACCCTCTAGCAGTACTGTGGTTTGAATTTAGGTCTCATGCTTACTGAGCCAAAGTTCTACCACTTGAACTATACTCCAGCTATACTTTTTTGCTGTTTATTTTTGGCTTGAGTTTAGTAAACTTACCCACCCAGGCTGGCCTTGAACACTTCCCTCCATTTCTCAGCTTCCTGATTAGCTAGGATTACAGGTGTAAGCCACTATCATCCAACTGACTTTGCTCTTTTTGATTTTCAGCAAATGTATGCATAGCCTGATATTCATTTTGTTACCAACTAGACCATTGACTGCAGAGTTCTGTCCCCTGAAAGAAATTTGGAGCCATTTTCAAGATGCTTTGAGCTTCATTAGCCACAATGTAAGTCAGTTATATTCAACTTGCAGCTAATTTTAAAGAACTGAACTGCTTGATATATTAGAAATTATACACAATAATGCTTTTTGATATGAGTTTTAGGCTAAATTCATATTACTGTGTACTTAGGCACTAGAAAATTTCCCTAAATTTATGAAATATAAATAGCTAAATAAAGTTAGACATTTAAAAATATAAATTTTAGTAGCATTAGGTAAAAATAGCATGACTAGTAGGTGTCTTGAATGATTTTGTATTTTCAGCGCCTGTCAGAATCATAGCTTCCCCTGTGATGATACAAACTTTGTAAAGAAGCTACTGTTCCTCAGAGATAGATGATAAAGTAGAGGAAACAACTATCTACCCCGTAGTCCTTCTGCTGTTTTTTCAATGTCGTTTTTTTTCAATAACTTTTTACAATTAGCTTTATTAAAGCATATTTTACATAGCATAAAGTTCACCTATTTGTACATGTACAATTAAGTAAATTTATGGAGAGGTACAACTATGGGCACAATTCAGTTCTATAACTTTCCATTCCTCAAAAAGTTTCTTCTTCCCTATCTGTACTCAGCCTGTGCAATCAATGCAAGCACAGACTTTTTGCTCTCTATATAGACGTTCCCTTTCTGGACACTTCATATGAATAGAATTGTACAATATTGCTTTCTGGTATCTGACTCATTTAATGTTTTGATGCTCTTCCGTGTTGTAGCATTACCAGTATTTCATTCTTTTTGTTGAATGATATTCTGTTGATTTGATATGCCATATTTTATCTATCTATTCATGAATTGATAGACATTTGCATTTCTATTTTGGGACTATTATGAATGCTGCTGCTATGAACACTTAAGTTCAAGTGTGTGTGCAGCATGTGTTTTCATTCCCTTGGATGTGTATCTAGGAGTAGTGCTTTGAGGAGCTTCAATATATTTTCCACAGTGGTAGCACCACAAACAGTGTATAAGGATACCAAATTTTCCCCTCTTCCCTCGCAGTGTTATTGCCTATCGTTTAATTATAGCCATTCTATCTCATTGTTGTCTGACTTGTAGTTTCTTGATCGCTAATAGTGTTTTATTGTGTTTGGGGAAAAATGTCTACCCAATTAGTTTTGCATTTTTAAAGTTGGATTGTGCTTTTATTGGACTGTCAGAAATCCTTTTATATTTTATTTGTAAATATTTTCTTCCAGTCTTTTCATTTCCATCCTTTTTGTTACAATGCTGGGTTTGAGCTCAGGAGTTAGTGCTTGTTAGACAGGCTCTGGTTTTTGCTCTGCTTAGTTTTTTTAATATAGGATCTCACTTTTTTTCCAAATCCAGCCTGGACAGCAATCCTTCTTTGCTTCCTTTTGTAGCTAGGATGACAGATTTGCACCACCATGTCCAAACTTTCTGTTAAGATGGGGATTGCGACTTTTTTAAAAATCTAGGCTTGCTTTATACATAACTTATCTCAGCCTTACACATAGCTAGGATTACAGGCATAAACCATAATGCATGAATTGTCTTTTCCATTTTTTTCTTAATAGATCATTTTAAAAGTAGATGTTAGGCGAAATGAACCCCAAGATAAGGATTCAAATGTTTTTTCTTTCTTGCTATTGTTTCTAACATATTTATAAGATATTTCTTTGTTGCTTTGTATGTCCCTCACCCCACAGTATAACCTCTGTTTTCACTGTATTTGATGTTGTTATACTTTGTGGAGGGGAAGGGAAAAAACAAATAGTTTAAATAGGGATACAGGTGGACCCATTGCAACAATGAGATGTACAAGACATTATGTTGAAAAATGAACTTTACAACTTTGGTAGGGGGGGGCAGATGAGAAGGGATGGGAAGAGGAAACAAAGGAGGAGGCTACAATGCTAATAAGAAATGTACTCATTACCTTGCTCATGTAATTGTAACCCCTCTGTACGGTATTTTCACAATGAAAAAATTGGAAAAAAAATGAAAAAAGTAGATGATATGATTTTCATTAAAGTCTATTTTCTCCACTTTTATAGGTAGTTTGTAGGGGTAGGAGGGTTGGTCATACTAAGAAATCTTAGCCTAACCAAAATCTACAAAGATTTTCCTCTTCTGCATTTTTATATTTTCATCTCTCAAATATGATCCATTCTGAGTTAATTTTTGTGTGTGATGTGAAATAAGGTTCTAAATAGGTCAAGGTTTGTTTTCTTTTGCATTGGGGTATATTTTTCTCTGTTATTTGACTTGAGTTTTCTCACTTGTAAAATGGGAATCTTTCCTGCTCTGACTGTCTCACACTTGAATTAAGAGCCAAAGAAAATGATATGTATTGCAAATTTTAATAGCTCATATACATATAAGGCATTATTGTTTACTATAAAGGAGGTATAAAACATTAAGGAAGTTTAAAAGGCTTGCTTAAAGTTACACAGAAAGTCATTATTTCCTTCCATGTTAATGTCTCAGGGTCTCAAAGGCTCTGGGATCACCTACTTCTTCATATACAAATACTTGCAATCACAAGCCAAAATGGAACAGTAATGGCATGGTGACAATCCAGTACAAGCTAGCATTGACTTAAACCTGCAGTTCTCCTGAAGCTCTAGAATTATGGCTAGCATGAATTTCAGTTAAAAAATAGCATTGAACATTTCAGATTTTTTCTTTTGCTATCTTTTGGAAAGAAAAAAAATCAAATTATTAGCCAGGTGCCAGTGGCTCATGCCTATAATCCTAGCTACTCAGGAAGCTGAGATCTGAGCATTGTGGTTTAAAGCCAGCCCCGGCAGGAAAAGTACATGACATTCCTACCTCCAATAAACCACCAGAGAACCAGAAGTGGCTCTGTGTCTCAAGTGGTAGAGAACTACCGTTGAGCTGAATTGCTTAGGGACAGTGCCCAAGCCCAGAGATCAAGCCCCACAACTGACCCCCCAAAAAAATCAAATTATTAATGATGAGCTTCACCTGTACCTTCAAGTGCATTTGCCATAGTAACTAATGCAAACTAAATTTAGATAGTATTATAACTCCAAATTGATGGCTTTTAATAATTGAATGGAGCCAAGACTTCTCTGAGCATTAACTTTTGTCACTTTTGGGGGGTTTGAACTCTAGGCCTTGGGCTCTCACTTGGTTTTTTCACTCAAGGCAGGCATTCTATCACTTGAGCTTCACCTTTGTGTACAGCTTTTGAAGATAGTCTCCTAGAATTGTCTGACTGGGCTGCCTTCAAACCATGATCCTTAGATCTCAGAATCCTGAAGTAGCTATGATTAAAGGGGTGAGCCCTCAGCACCTAACTTTGCCACTTTTATTCTCTGTTATTACAAGTCCAATTTTTTTGGCTTTTGCCTGTCTCAGAGCTTAATGTTTTTCTATGTTTATGATGAGTTTTCTTTTTTGGGGGGGTAGGGGGGGTCCGGTCGTGGGGCTTGAACTCTGGGCCTGGGCACTGTCCCTCAGCTCTTCAGCTCAAGGCTAGCGCTCTACCACTTGGGCCACAGCGCCACTTCTGGCTTTTTTCTTTTTTGCTTATATGGTGCTGAGGAATCGAACCCAGGGCCTCAGGCATGCAAGGCTCTACCACTGAGCCACCTTCCCAGCCCCTATGATGAGTTTTCTGTGCACTGTTGTTCATACCTTGATATATGACTGGCTAGTTAAGTTTTCTCTAATAGAGATAATTTAATAACCCTCTTTGTTCTTTATCTTGTATTTGTTGTTTTTTCCTTGTTTGATCAAATGTGCTATGATGCATCTCTTTTGTTTTAAATGCTTGGGAGAAAATTCTGCTTTTGCTTGATTGACATTTTTGATGGCCAGTCACTCAGTTTCTAAACAGCCTTACAGGGCCTGGCAAAGTTCTATTACACATATATAAGCCCTCTTGCCTCAGAGTATGATTCTTTCCAGTTCACAAAGTACATCTACAGCCATTAATTCATAGAGACCCCTACAACACTTCCGTCAGTGATGTCTATCACTGAAATAATTAACTTTATTACTTTATTACAATTATTAACTTTAATTTACAAATGGAAAACTTAGAGGTTCAAAAAAGTAAAGTTACCAATGTGGGTAAGATCATTTGTGTCTAATGAATGAAGAAGAACTAGAAGCCAGGCTTTCTTGTCTCATGTTTTAGTCAGTTTGAGCTGTTATAACAAAAATACCATAGATATGATACCTTTTAAGTAGTACAAATTTATTTCTCCTGGTTGGGAAGCAGGGGAACCCGAGATCAAGGCACTGATTCAGTCACCAGTGAGGGGTCATAGAAGGGCCATCTTTTGGCTATAACATTACTTGGCAGAGGGGATAAAGAATTTCTCTAGGAGCTGGGTGCCGGTGGCTCACGCATGTAATCCTAGTTACTCAGGAGGCTGAGATTTGAGGATCGCGGTTCAAAGCCAGCCCGGGCAGGAAAGTCCATGAGACTCTTATCTCCAATAAACCATTAGAAAACCAGAAGTAGTGCTGTGGCTCAAGCGGTAGGGACAGCTCCCAAGCCCAGAGTTCAAGCCCCATGACCGACAAAAGAAAAAAAAAAGAATTTCTCTAGGATCTCCTTTATAAAGACACTTCTATTAATGATGTTTATGCCCTCATTACTTAATCACCTCCAAATAGCCCAACTTTCTAATATGTCATCTTGAAGATCAGGACTTTGGCATATGAATGGGGAAGGACCTAAATAGTCTATTGTCCTTAATTACAGGGTTCTCTCCTCTAGAACTTGAATCTTTAACAGTTCTCACTAGCAAAATTCAGTTGAATGAAGAGCTTTAGATTGCTACTCAGAAGTTAGTGCTGATGAAAGGTGGAGGGACATAACACAACATATGCTAAAGCAGCAAGTCTGTGTGTGTGTTCACAGTTGGCTTATATTCTAAATCCTTATTCTAGATTATTCAGAATTAGATTATAGGTGAATATTACATTGTGTTACACTATTAAAATTGTTCAGGTTGTTTCTATTTTTTATTTTTAAATGCTATTGTAAAAGTGACATACAGA